TCAGCGCTCACCGGAGCAGCTCATTGGGACAGTTGGAAATCACGTGACCCTCTCGGCCCACATGTCAGGTTGTGGGCTTTTCCTTTTGCAAAGCACTGGCCGAGCCTGCCCCAGATCCAGACCGCGTCCCTTGCTCCTCTCTCCATCTTGTCTTCCTCCTTCAGATCCATACGCGGCGCGTCCTGCTCCTCTCTCCAGCTCGCCTGCTCTATGGACGTGTTCATGCAAGCGCAGGCCGATGCGGAAGACAGGTATTTAAAATCTCACTTAGCAAAGCTCCAATTTTATCGCCCGCAAGCTAAACTTAGTATCAGATCTTCATGTTTACCAGTTGAGGTCAACGGGGATTCCTAAATTCTCTAGGTCGGATTTTGTATGCAGGATTAACCATGGGCAGTTGGGTGGTGTTGCTGCGGCGCGGCCTGTTGAATTTGAATCCCAGGCTTCTATCAGCATCGCCGAGGCCCGAGGGGGACATTTGCCGTGCCGGAGACCAATGCAGCGGCGGTAGGATTTGCCGTGCGAGATTTGTTGATGAAGAACGGCTCGTGCAAGTGTGTTCGGAGGCTACAAGTGGTTGGACACGCAGGTATTCGTACCCAACCTGGTAATTCTTGCTGGTCATATGTGGATGTGTAATCTTAGGCTTATCTAGCTAGCTGATTTGTACTAATAATTTCAGTAATTTTGTTTACTTTGTACTTTTTCAACTGGGTGTGGGGGTGGTTGTTGGGGGTAAGTGAATTAGGAAATTATGTTTTGTACTGTCGAATCTCTCTATGCGTGGGCATGTGGATTGTTAGTCAGTAAACATTTGTTTAGCTTGCAGTTTTGCATTGTAAACGAAGTTAGTAAAAAAACGTGTGTGAATACATGGGCTAATGCATCTTTAGAGATTTGTTTCCAATTACCTGAGGTGTGGACATTGTAGTTATAGGGTCAGGTAGTAATCGTGTCAATGTTATCTGCATGTATCTTAGAAGATTTAGGAGCAGGCAGTGTCATGGTTATCTCTTGTGTTATATGATTATTATTATTTTTTTTTGCAAATTACTGAAATTATTACTCCACCATTTAATAGAGTAAGGATCAGGAAAGCTCCTGCAGAGCATGAGCTCAACCCTACCCGGAAAAGTGCCCTTGAACTATCCATGAGGGTGTTCATAACAAAACGAGATGGCAATGTTGTCAACCCAGCTGTCGGAACATCCTTCGATTAATTGGATGAGGCTTACCAGTCCTATCAATCATCTTCTTCATGGACTCATTCTTAAGAAAGTGCTATCCTTCGGTACATTGCGCATGGTTTGTTCATTTGTTCAAGCTCGAGACTGTCCAGTACGAACACCTGGAACAAATGGCAGCTTACATGCTTAGATTGGGATAATAGCATGCAAAAATCTAAATTTTTGGGGTTCAGGAGGCTTGATTTGCACGGTTTGTCATGCCTGCAAGAAGAGATGGCATCCCACAATGTCAATGGTGGGGTTTCGCTTGGTTACATCTGCCTTGAATTTTCTTACAACATGGAGAAGATGCTTAAGGTAGCTACACCAGTTCCATTTTCTGATTTTGCTAACATAATTGAAGGCAGCCCAGAAATATATTGTTATATAATCATGTTTGGCTGATGGGGCAAGAACGTGGTCAACTACAAAAATGACGAATGCAAGTTTCAAACACTGCAAATAAATACTGGAATTACTTTGTTGGTGGTGGGGCATAAAGCAATTTTTTGCACGTCGAGACGTGAGAAAAAAAATGGCCAGGCTGCTGTTCCATCTTGCACATCGCGAATTTATCATTGGTGCACCTACCGAAACATTGGACCGGAAACTGATCAAGACTAATTAGCAAAAATAAAATAGCAATTTCAATATGATGGGTAGCAACGCATGGATAAATAGTAAAGAAGACTGGTAAGTATGAGTAGAGAATTTTTTATGCAGGCTAATATGATTTGTGGCCGTGAATAGCATTTGATTATATTACGGCTTAGGAAAACAAAAGCGTCGGTCAAATTAATAAATTAATCTAAACCGGCTGCATGCAATTGAAACAGCAGCCCGGGCATTAATCATAATCTCTGTAACCACACTGGCTAACGGCACGGCCTTAAAATGGCGGGTAATTATTCTATGCTCTCACGTGAGAGGAGTCGTCATCTGCCCACATGAACGCGTCGCTCCGGTACATCTTGACTTTTCCACGTGCCAGAGGGTAATTTGAAATTGGTGCAACTCAGCTCTGTTCCGGCGCCTAGATTCTGTCAGAAAGGCTAGCGCTGACAGCCGGGATACAAGGGGTGGCAAGCATCTACGGGGGGACAGCCCGCGTAAATACCGGAAGGAATCTGGCCAATATGGAAAACGGATGGTGAGGATATGGTCCACAGAGTGTTCGTCCACCGAACGGCATTTTCGTTTGTTTGCAAGGCTTCTGTGCTTCTTATGATATGTATTACCGAAAGGGTCCAGAGATACCTTTCCAATACTCGGAGTGACAAATCATAATCTCGATCTATGCCAACTCAACAAACACCCTTGAAGATACCTGTAGAGCATATTTATGATCACCCAGTTACGTTGTGACGTTTGATAGCACACAAGGTATTCCTCCGGTATCCGGGAGTTGCACAATCTCATAGTTGAAGGAATATGTATTTGACATGAAGAAAGCAATAGCAATAAACTGAACGATCATTATGCTAAGCTAACGGATGGGTCTTGTCCATCACATCATTCTTCTAATGATGTGATCCCGTTATCAAATGACAACACATGTCTATGGTTAGGAAACCTTGACCATCTTTGATCAACGAGCTCGTCTAGTAGAGGCCTACTAGGGACACTGTATTTGTTTATGTATTCACACATGTATTTAAGTTTCCGCTTAATACAGTTCTAGCAAGAATAATAAACCTTTATCATGAATAAGGAAATATAAAATAACAACTTTATTATTGTCTCTAGGGCATATTTCCTTCATTATCGCCAGCACCAACCCTGTAATCGAGCCAGATAGTTGATGCCGAGGAGAGTAGTGATTTGGACGGAGCATTCTCTCGCTCGCCTAAGGCCATTGGGCATCAGGCGTTGGCCATGGAGCGCGGAGTTTCAGATGTTGCTACCCTTCCATCGTCTGCGACCATCGAGCAGGTGATGCCTGTGAGTGGCATGGCCACTGAGCCAAGTGAGTTGGCACCTATGCTCTCTTCGCGAAGAAACTTTGTGACTTGCGCGCTAACGTGGAGGTTGCTAGACCTGGTTTGGGCAGGTCGATTGTTTGCCTCTTGACGGGGACGCCAATAAGGGGTAAACAAAAGAAGGTGGGTAAATACAAGAGTGGTGTCATAGGCAAGACATCTTTCGTTGCTTGATGGATGATCTTCGGTCTCTCAGCATGTCCTCTTGGATTGGAAGGTGCATGATGTCTTCTGTCGAGGTGTTCTTGTCGGGATTCACTTGGCATAGCAATAGTGTCGGGGTTTGTGGATGTTGTGCATTCGAAGAGTTTGGCAAGGGCCGACTGTGCGGTTGTAGAGTTTCTTGCCATGTGAGTAGTTGGTCTGTGCTTCGTTTGTATAGGTTTTTGCCCGGTTTTGCTTAAATTAATTGGACAATTCTCTTCTTCTTAATTAATCGATGAGGCAAAACTTTTGCCTCCGTCTTTTTTTTTAAAAAAATTGGTGTTTGCCATGTACAAGTTCTGCAAGCGGGCATAATCACTAGCTAGCTGCTAGCGTTCATGCTCCACTCCTCTGCATGGGCGTTTGAATTTGGGGCCCTTGCAATGCGATGCCCGATGCACTTGGGCTGTACTTTTTCCTTAACTAGAAATTCTCATTCCAATAATGCAAAAGGGCTAAAGCTTGATGAATGAAACCCCTTTTCCTCGCAAAAAAAGGGCTAAAGCTTTAATCTCTCTCGGTAAAACTCTATTGGGGGGTCATGGCTCTCCGAGTTGTTGATCGCCTCAACCATCAATCCAGATTCGCTGACTTAGCCACAGCAAGTCCCCGCTGACTTTGTCGTAGGATCAAGAATCGAAGGCTGAGATTCGTCAAATCACTATTCTCAAACACTATTCACATAAACCACTGTTCACGCAAATCACTGTTGACCACACTATAGCCCCTGATCTAGTCTGTCGCTTTTCAATCCGACGGACGGGACTGGGCAAAGGTAGCGGTACTGTAGCGTCGCTACCTTTGCCACAGCAAGTTAGCGAATCTGAACACCTCAACCATCTGCTTCAATCATGACGTTGGTCATGCTCCATTCTTGTTTGTTTCAATCCACTTGGGCTGTTGGGCACTTAGGTGGGCTAGCAGATTACCACTAGCATGGATTCTTCTGCTACTAATATGTTTCCCTTTCGACGTTTGGTTCCGGCCAAGCCGCGACATTATATAATGATGACAGCGGGGCAGCCAAAAGAAGAAGAAAAAAGGAGCTAATTATCGTGCTTCCATCTGCCAAGTGAGCTCACACTGTTGACTCGAAGAAGACCACCACGAAATTCCCGATCTCGCGCGTGCTCCTGCATCTTGTAAACATCTAAAAGAAGGCGGCGCGAGTAACCTCCGGTGGCCGTCACTTCTGGGCGGACGGCCATCAAGAATGGCCGGCGGCGACCTGCTCAGCCTGGCGGCGGTCTCGGCCGCGGTGACCGCGGCCATGTGCTACGCCCGTTTCGCGGCCGGGCGCCTCCGCCCGGGCCTACCCCGCCTCGCCGCGTTCCTCCCGGTGCTCGCCGCCCTCCCGTTCCTCCCCTTCGCCTTCCACGCCATCCACCCGCGCGCCATCTCCGGGTTCTTCCTCGCCTGACTCGCCGAGTTCAAGCTCCTCCGCCTCGCCGCCGGCCAGGGCCCCCTCCACCCATCCCTCCCGTTCCCCGGATTCGTCGCAGTCGCCTCCGGCCCCGTCAGGCTCCGCGACGACGGGCCCGACAAGGCTCAAGGCACGTCGTCGGGCCAGGACCTCGCCTCCTCCGCCGTCATGGCCGCGCTGCTCGCCGTCATCGTCTCGCTGTACCGGTACCAGGAGCTGATGAACCAGTACGCCCTGCTCACCCTCTACGCGTTCCACGTGTACTTGGCCCTGGAGCTGGTCCTGGCGTCGGCGGCCGCGGCGGCGCGCGCGCTGCTGGGCATGGATCTGGAGCCGCAGTTCGACCGGCCGTACCTGTCGGCGTCGCTGCGGGATTTCTGGGGACGGCGCTGGAACCTGTCGGTGCCCGCCGTGCTCCGGCCGTGCGTGTACCGCCCAGTGCGCGCGCGCCTGGGCCCGGCCGCGGGGGTGCTCGCGACGTTCCTGGTGTCCGGGCTGGTGCACGAGCTCATGTTCTACTACATCACGCTGCGGCCGCCCACCGGGGAGGCGACCGCCTTCTTCGCGCTGCACGGCGCGTGCGCGGTGGCGGAGGCGTGGTGGGCGAGGCACGACGCGTGGTGGCGCCCGCCGCGGCTGGTGGCCACCCCGCTGACGCTGGCGTTCGTGCTCGTGACGGCGTTCTGGCTCTTCTTCCCGCCGATCACGAGGCCCGGGGCCGACAAGCTGGTGATCGCCGAGTGCGAGGCGGCCGTCGCGTTCGTCCAGGACGCCGGCGCCTGGGCGGCCGGCTCCGTCCGGTCGGTCTGGACTGGGCGCTCGTAGTACGGAGACGGCTGGTGCGTCACGCCTGATGCGCCCGCGAAGAATGGCTCGTTGCTCAGGCGGCAATTTTTGTGTGTATTGCGCCTGCGGCTGTCGATTTGTTACGAAAATGTAAGGAAACTCGTTTATTACTCGCTTGTCACACCAATGAACTGACGATGATTGACAGTACTAATGGCACACCCAAAATACGGAGCATCAGATCACAGCACCAGCATAGAAATGCCCCAATCAAATTTGTTTCAAATCCATATAAATGTCCCAATCCAAATTTGCTTCAAATCCATGCATTTAAAAAGTTATTTATATAGCATTCAGGTGCAGGCCATGTAGCCTCTTTCCTATCGTTCCTCAGCACCAAACTGCTGCCGAATGTTCCATAACCATGTACATACTCCTCATCTTTTCAAGTTACGTACAGTACATTTCAAATCGCCCAACATAGGCAAACAAGCACCTGTATGTTCCCGCGATGCAAAAACTAGGTATCACGCACTGGCGCTCAAAACACCAGTTCTCAGTCTGTCACCGCTGATTGCCCTCGCCAGGGCGACCGACAATGAATACTTCATCTCATGGCCTCGGCCTCTTGATGTCTCTCTCGGCGCTGCGGTCATTGCTCCTGTGCTCGTGCGCGTCCTTCCTCTTCCGGTTGTCAGGGCCAGGAGAGCGGTATTCCTGGCCGTCCAGGGACAGCTCGCCCTCTTCTGTGTTCTCCGCCTTGCGAGCCGTGTTCTGGTGATCCTCCCGATGCGCGGGGTGGGGCCAGCTCTGCCTTCTGTCGTGTTTTTTCTCGTCCTCAGCAGCCAACTCCACGCCATGTTCCAGCTCCCTCTCAATTAGGTCATCATCATCCATGACTTCCACTTTCCTACCAGCATCGCCTTTCGACTTCCTCCGCTTCTCCAGCGCAGCTTTCACCTTATCCTTGTCTATCTTTTTCATCGCATCCATCATTGATGAGGACATATTGGTGCCTTCATTGCTGTTGGCTGTGCCATCCCTTGCTTCACTCTTGGGTATCCTCTGGTTTGAGGTCTGCTTTTCAGGCTGAGGGTGGTCATGCCCGTGACGGCCTGGTACGCTCGACTGTCTAGGTGCTTGATGAGTTTCATGGGCAGGAGGCTCCTCAGCTTTCACAGGAGCACGCTGATTAACCACACTTGCAGAGCTGCCTTCGGTATCATTCCCTTGTGAAGGTTGTGGTCCAACACGGTTCTGCTCGTAGAGCTCCAACATTTGGTTGCTAACCTCTGAAAACAAATGTCACAAAAATATAAGAATGGTTCTTTGGTATGCATGTTACTTCGCAACAAAGAGCATAAAAATGGAGTAAAAGGAGCATCAGTTCTATAAAAATAGATATAATAACGGGCAATACTGCTCAGTACCGTTGGAAAATCACCAAGCTGAAAAATGCAGTCTGCTGCTTTGCAGGTGGTCCCAGGCCCCACATGCCATCCACATGTTAGATGTAATTTCCAAACTATACCTCATTGTGATGCTACTAAGCAAATTTTCTGTATAACAGAAATGACAACAGACAAGGGCTACCAGAAAAGTTGTCCTCCAAGTCAACACTCAACACCAACAAAAATACCTCAAGTTCCATAAATAAGGCTACCAAATACAAGTTCATAACAATGTGTTCCTATCATGGCATTCCCTTGTGTATCCGTATCCCAGAACAATAATACTCCGTTTAAAAAAGGAGTACATCTTAACAACAAGTCAACAACTCGCATACCAAGGAGTTAAGAGGGGTTGTTTATTAGGCTTAATGCATTTGCTCATGGAACCGCTTGTGATATGTATAACAGTTTTGCTAAAGCACATCTAGACGTATTGCACATCTAAGTCCTACCTCATTGCTCTCCTGTGGAGATTCGTGTGGGTATTTTATTTTTATTTTTTATGTTTGATTGAGTTACTTAGATGTGCAATAACTAGGACACAATATAATCCTGCATGCATTGGCTTGCTGCCCCTCGATTTCCTAATACACGCTGTAATGTGAAAAAGACGTAAAAAAAACTAAGACGAGCTTGCTCAAATTATCGAGAGGGAGTACTCTGTGCACATCACGAAACTCCTTGTGTCTCTGACCTAACCAACCTAGTTCCAGTATCATTTCTGAACAACAATGGTGATGAAATTTTGGCCATCCAATCTCATAAGCGCCTAAAGCATGGGAACAATTGCTGCTTGCTTTCAAAGGCGTTTAAACTACTATCCTTAAGATAATGAATAGTAAAATTGTGCAAATATGCAATACTGACTTTGTATCTAGAGACCAACCTTCCAACTGCCGTGGAGTTACATCAAACTCTTGCCACCAGACCTTTTCCCCGTCTGCTGGAAGCTTGACTTTGAGGAACTTTGCAGCAAGGAAGATTGCGCCGGCCGCAATATGATGGGGCTTAAATTGCAGGCAAAGCGAAGTGCGTAGCCTGTACACCCCTTTTAAGGTATAGTAAATAGGCATAATGGGGGATTACTATTTTTGTAAGGATAAGGGTAATTTCAGCATACCCATCATTGACAAAATTCCAGGCAACTTGAGCAAGTGCATTTTGAGCAACCTTGAATTTTTTTATTGCTTCAACCAAAGGCTTGTAAGGGTGGTGCACATTCATGTCAAAACCAAGTGTTACAAGCACAAGGCGCTCCCCGATCAAAAGAAGTTCCTTCTGTTGTTCATACACTTCCTACACACGACAACACAAACCATTCTTGTCACATACTCAGGAAATAAAAATGCACCAGCTATAGAAGAGCTGCAGCTTTATGTTGTGAGGGAGAACAAGTATAAAAAAGATGATGTGTGGTATCAAGAGAATGCTCACAAAAATAATCTCACCTTCTGCTTAATTCGAGCAACTGCAGCAGGATCCTTTTTGTGGATTATCTCATAAGAGATGAGTACGACATCCTTCAGGGGTCTAGGTGTTTCTTCAACTTTACCCGCCAAGAACATGCAAACTGTGGCTATTGTCTGCAGATTATAATGATTACATTGATAATTTGCAACGTAAAGTTGAGTATAAGAAAAATACTACCCCTAACAAATACTCCCTCCGTCCCAAAATATAAGAAAGTTTTTGACACTAGCATAGTGTCAAAAACGTTCTTATATTTTGGGACGGAGGGAGTAATATATTGCAAGCAGCATGCTCTATATTGTACGCTATCCAAGAAAAAAATACTTAGGGCCACTTTGATTCACAGTATTTCTAAAGCAAAGGAATAAGAAAAACACAGCAATAGAGTGTCATGTCATCTTCAATACCCCAAAAGCATAGGATTCTTAACAAGAGGTTGGAGTAGATGTAAATTTTCCTTCAAAATCTAATGCAAATAAATAAAGGGAAATCCATGTAGACTGCAATCCTACGAACCAAACGACCCACATAGACACAATCCTAAGGATTAGAATCGTCTAAAATTCATTAAGAAATCATTTGAACCAAAGATGCCCTATAGTGTTAGCCTGCATGTCTTTCCTACAGAGCCAAACAAAATTTACCATATCATGGAATCCAATAAGATACATGTTCTACAGGCAACAGCAAATCATTTATTCTTCTCTTTCACGGTATGGGTGGCGAGCATCAATGTTTGAATACACTGCCTACCATGCATAGAAAGTGATTTACAGATAAACTAGAAAATATGTTGTTTGATAACAGACATATAAGCTCATAAAAATTTCAGCAAGGCTTACCTGTCTGTCATTTTTGGCATGAGATTGACGAAGGAAAAAACGATGACAAAATACTATAGCTGTAGCAATTGTTACTTGGGGCCTACATAATGAAGTAATTCATCAATAAGGAAGAAAATACCATAAACAACTATCAACCAACCCAAGAGAGCACAAATTATGCAGTAACAAAGGGGTCTTTACTGCTTCATAGACATTCATGGAGCAAATGTTCTAAGGGCACATAAAGGCCAGTAAAACAGTAAATAGGGTTGAATATTTACTGTTTCACCTAAACAAGGATGTCATCAGCCATTGTTGCATGCCCTATAAAAACGAGTGGGCTAAAAGTAACAAATCAATGAACATAACACTGGGGTAAGGGCCAATATGTTACGAATTCTCTAGAGTAAAAACTCAAAGAATATAAAGGGACTATATATTAAGAACTTATTCCTTAAAATGCCGTGTGCTGATGAAGAAAACATCAACCCTTTTTAAAAGGAAAAACTGAGTAACAATATGTTAATAACTTGTTCCTAAAATACCATGTGCTGATGAAGAAGACATTTTTAAAGGTAAAACCTGAGTAGTGGTGTCATCACAGGCATATCTAGCAACTTCCAAACATAAATATCAGATTCACAAGCATGTGCTAGCAAATCTCTCAGCTGAACAAATAACATATGGCTTGACAATTGAGAGCTTTACCATCAAATTATTCAAATCAAATAGTGCTATATTATCTCTGAACGTTGTGACAGAAATAAAGTTAAGATACAAAGCTAACAAGCATGGAGTGCACATAAATGCTCAAAAATGCTTAGGCAGAAGAAAAACTGGACAGGTCAAAGATCAGATAATTATCAAATATCTAACATAATACATATAACACATGATTAAATAAAAACATTTAGTCCACATAATCAAGTAAAATGCCAGGGAAAAGCAGACAAGTTTTTCTGGATGGGGAAATGATTAAACTAGCACTTGAGCAGTCAGCATGCTTGGCAACTTATCATGCAAGGACACTATGCTTATTTAAAACCTATGAGTCATGTTCCCTTGATCACCAGAGGTGATGCTTGTGTGATCTTCTGAACATCCCTGACATCTTTTGTTTTTAACAAACGTACCTCACAGTGTATGCTTTAGCTATTCCACCCATCAAATATAACCATTAAATGTATGTTGATTCGCAGCCTAAGGGTGTCCGAGCATGTCAGACACTTGCCTAACTAGGTCAAACTAGCCTTAACGGTGTCACACAAAGTGTGTGAGGGTTTGGCTTCCAACT